AAGAAGTACTTACAGATGAAGTTTCTGGAGTTATGGATATAATTGAAGGCGTCACAGCACGTCCTATGATATGAAGAATCCTATCGGAAGATCCAGAAGATCAAGTTCAAGGAATTGCAGAATATAACGAACAATTGCGGAAGTCCATTAGATATCATTGACCAGCTCGATGCAAGGGGTATATGGGGACACCGTAGAGGTACGTTAGATGTATATTTAAGACCTGGTTCCATCGGCCCGCATGGAGGAAGTCAATGCATGGCTTGGTCTCGCCATGATAGTTATAATCTTCAGGTTACAGGGTGATGTTGCGCACGTGAAACTGGGAGCTTGTGTGTTGGAAAAAACATTCTCGTCAGATGCCTTTTGGTTTGTTTTCTGGTAGTATATTCTCAACGCTTTCGTCTAGATATCAGATTTTTGGGGGGTCACTTTTCTCTCTGCACTAGCAGTTATGCTTTATTTTACTGCTTGTTCAAAAGGAATATAAGACTCACATGTATGAGATATCTTTTTATTTTATTTCTATTATATTTGTTGTTCTTTTTTTCAGATATTGTTTACCTTTATTGTTTCTTTTCCGTTTTCTTGTTAATTTTTTGTTCGAAGAGCAACGCCAGTCTACGGGTAGTAGAAGCTTATAATAAAAAAATAAAAAATAAAAGAGCATATCATCAGTCACTGTGACGAAAGTGAATCTTTCACTAATACTAAGTTTGTCCGATGCGACTTTCCGTATAAAAATTAATATTAGGTAAAATCCGCAGCTTATTCTTGTGGATATGATATAAGTGGACGACCGTTAGTAACCTGATATCTTTTTCCATAGTGAAATACTAAATCTTCAAGGATGTCAACTCGGTCAGAAAATCTTAACCATTAAATACTGTCGTGGGCAGGAAATTCTCGAATTAAATTTTATCTTGCCATACAGAAAGCCCAACACCTGATGATTCCATATCAGTGTTTGTTTTTCAAAAAAAATTCTAATTTGATGGAGAAAATGCAATTTTAAATACCAACACGCCTATTCCGCTAGTAGATTTGTAACTTGGTTTTCTCCACTTTGGAAGCAGCTAGAACAAAAATTTTTTCACTGTTAAATAGGGCATTGTTTACACTATATATACCGCTATTCAAAACAGAAAATTTCGTACCTACGATTTTTTCAGAAAATGCCGCCTAAATGCCCACTGTGCTGATATCTTTTTCCATAGTGAAATACTAAATCTTCAAGGATGTCAACTCGGTCAGAAAATCTTAACCATTAAATACTGTCGTGGGCAGGAAATTCTCGAATTAAATTTTATCTTGCCCTACATGACTCTTGAAATTTATGACGGCTGATCAGAAACGCACATCCACAAAAAAGCCGATATTGATTCAAATTGGGAGTTAAGTGATGTTTTGTACTTCTTCTGTGTTCCTTGAGTGGAGCCATCATAAAGTGCTAAAAAATTTTTTTTTTAATATCCTTTGCAATGGGTGGGAAATGAGCTATTACGATGGAAAATGTGTTTCCGCTGTTTTTCCGCATTTTGGAAAAAATTCGCTTTGCTGACCTAATCATCTGGCAACTCTTGCTAAATCACAGCCATAAACTTCAAAACAAAGAAAAACCAAACACATGTAGTACCTAACACGCTTTCATGTTCATTGTCTGTTCAGTTCTGGTAAACGAACTAACTAACTATCTATCTATCACAGACAGGAGGGGTTTATCGAATTAATTTATGTCCTTGATGAAAGACCCCAAACATTGGATGGAGCGGTGAATGAAGAGAAGAGGGCAATTATTTGAAAAAGTTGGTAAGAAAAATTTATTCAAGTCAATTTTTAAAACAATCTATTTCAGCAAATTTATTCTTTGTAAACAAATGCATTGAAATATATTTATTTTGTGAAATCTACTTAAATGTATGTCATTTGTAAAAGAAATGAATTTAATGATTGTTTTTTCCAAAATAAATTTCTTTAAAAAGATATTTTCGAAAAATTCAGTAAAAAATAGATCTTTTAAAATTTATTTAAATTAATTTTTAAAATAAGAGTATTCATTGAGACAGAAATGGATTTAAATAGATTTTTCGAACGAAAAGTTACGCAGAATAAATTTAAAAGAACTTTTTTAAAAATTAATTATTTACTTTATTCATTTAATTATATTAATAGATTTACTGAAAAACAAGAACGATTTTTTAACCAAATCCGAAATGCAAACAGCCCCACGAAAGTGTCTCTTTTTCCCAGGTTCCATTCAAATACATGGAGTTTTAATTAATAATTGATTGCTAAGTAATCTCTAAGGATAAATAGGTAATAAATACCTCATTTTGTAGCCCGGATCTTCCTCTCTCTACCATACGGTTTGAGCTCATTATAGTGTAAACTCATTAAGCTAATTAAGACACAGTCAACTGCGCTCGAGATTGTCTTTTCTTCTTTTTGTACCATGGGGCGAAAAGAGACACTCGTGTAATTTGTGTGAGGGGAAAAGAGACATCATTCCATTGAAATACATGGAGTTCTCAGAGACAAACCTTCCCAAACAGCGAAAAGCTTTAAGCAGAAAATCGGACATATGTGGACAATATTTAGCCGTATTATAATTATAACCAGGTACACCAGACGCTTACTTCCTACCTGAGATGCATAAAAAAAGCCAGATCGAAAGTCGGAAATCTCAGCTCCAACTTCAACCCCACCAAAAAAATCTTCAACTCCGAAGTTGGAGTTGCCCAGTTCTGAAATAAATATAGTTATAAATCTTTGTTGCTAAAGAACATAGGCTTTTTTTCATAAAAAATATCTGATGAAAATACTATCTATTTTAAATAAAGAGTAGACTACAGCGCAAGATAAATTAAATACTTTTGGCTTTCTGGATCACGTTCAACTTGTTTAACATAGAAACTATGCCCGGCCATTAAAAGGACTTCTTGCTCAAAAGGATAGTGTGAAAAAGAAGATATGTCACTTTGCCAGCTGGCTAAATATGAACGTGAAATGTGAATAATAAATAATGTATTTCCAAACTGTTCCGCTTGTTGTCGCGATTTAGATGTGGACGAAAACCCTAACCATTTAATCCATTTTCCAATAGCCTCCTTATATTCTTCAAACAATTCAGTTGTAAGAGTACAACCACGGTAAAGAATCAGTTCTTGTTTATTTCTTGATTTCCATAAATGTCGATTTAACAAACAACAGTAAGCACCCAATGTATCAACTTTACTCCAATCTTCATTCCTTAGAGTTGAGTTAACTAATTTATAGAGAAATGATTCAGCTGTGTAGAGACGAATACAAGAGCAGTAGATTTCTTCCACTGATTTATCTTTGACAGTTAGTAGTTGTGCAGCTAGTAGTTGAGCTTCGAACTCTTGATTTAATAATTTACCTTCTTTTAAAATACCTATAGTTTCAATAATGTGAGAAGACAGAGTAGTACTCGGCTCTGATAAACATAAGAAAAGAAACAAAAACTACCTTTACAAGCTTGTTCAACAATTTTCTGCCATTCTTCTTTGTTGTTTTCTGCTATTGCTTTGTTCCTTTTCCACCATTCCCTAATAAATTCAGATCCGTTCTCCTGAATATCACCAAATGATTTGGCTGCCTTGGGCTTTTCTGGAAAACAAAATCTTTCTTCTCTTAAATATTGTGAAACTTCAACTTCTTCTCTCCTCACTAGCCACTGTTTATTTTTGTCGTCTTTTCTCATTTGTACCATGTCCTTAAAAACAATAATATAGTCACCTAATTGAATTTCTCGTGCCTTCCTTTGATAAGCTTCTTCAATTAATTCATTTTCTAAGCTCGAGTAATCTGTCCATTCTTCTTTCTTTTTCTCCTTTCTCCATTTGATTACCAACTCCATACAACTTTTCTACTGGTTGCTACTTCTGTGGCCACTGATATTTGTCTCTCTGAACACAGTCATAAAAAAAGGCAAGTTTTATTATCTATATAGCAGTGGAAATTAGAATTCAGGGAAATTCAGAATTCCACAAGTGAAAATTGGAATTCTAATCTACACTAGTGCAAATTAGAATAAAGTGACTATTCTAATTACGTGACTATTCTGAAATCTGTAGGGAAATTCAGAATTCCACTAGAAATAAAAATCTTACAGATTATTCTAATTTACACTATAGTGGAAATCAAGGTTGCCAAATCACAATGGGCATTTGTTGCTAGAGCAGGCGGACTTTAGCTTTATGAGTGAACTAAAATTTTATGAACCATTTTTTTATAGGTTTTTCATGATCCTCTTTCTAATGGCATGAGAGTTGGGTTTTGAAAAAGTTTCCGAAGGAGTTTTCCAGACATCCGGTCTCTGGAAAACCCTTCAGAAAACTTTCTCAATATTTAAAAACGATGCCACTGGAAAGAGCATTGTCGAAAACCTATAAGAAACATGTTTAGAGTCGTTCAGGTTACTTTATCTTGAAATTCAAATTTTCAGCAGGAAATTGTTTGTGTGAATCTCAAAAACTAAGAAATCTCTAGAATTCAAAATCGAGCTACCGAAACTAGATGAGTTATACACCATTAGATGCAATTTTTCACGCTGATTCCAAATCTGCGCTTGTTTGTACGAAAAAGTGCTTTCTTGACGAATAAATCTCTCAAATATCCGAAAACCACTAGGGGTTTTGGAAAATTCATAAAACCGTCGGGAAAGAGTTGCGAGATTTTGCGAGATTAGCATAAATAGCGTAGTGTCTGAGGAACATTTTGATGTATTTGTATATTGTTTTTGAGGGTGGCTAAGGATGGCGATGCGACTGTACTAGGGTAGTGTCATTTCCACTATCGTTATGAGAAATCTATGATCTGCTACTTACTGAATTCGATGTCAAAGTACAACCATTCTATTATAAGTAGATAGCTGAGGAGCTACTGACTTTGAATATGTCCTTTCGAATTGCTTAGCATTGCTGAGAGAGCGAAGAATCCCGGTTTTCTATAATGTGTCCTGTTTTACCATATATGTAATGCAGTTTTTGTGCCCTAATTTTTCCTCAAAGGAGTCGATATCAAAATAGACATTTATACACCATTCGATAGAGAACTTGAAGGGCTACATTTTGCACTATTTATTTTTTGAAAACGAGAAACTTCGATTTTTTGCCTAACTTCCGTCTGGATGCCCACTGTGCAAATGTCCCCCCACGGGGACAGTCCCACAATCAAAGATTTGTCCGGCAGGATGTTCCCCTTTTTAAGGATATTTTTTTTTGACCGCCTTCAATGGACCGTTTAAATCGAAAAATCAGCTGTTGTCCCCTTGGAGATTTTACATAAGAAAAGCACTGAACGCAGAGTTGAGAATTAGAATGAATACAAACTTAACGTGTACTAATTTTCATTCTTTGATTTTAAATAACAAAGAACTTCTGTAAAATGAGTGAGAGCTTGAAATTCTTTATCTTTTGGTATGTAAAGAAACTTCTAATTTGAAGAGAAAGTACGAAATAAATGCAGTAACATTTACATTCATGAGTGAATAATGAGCTTGAAACTCACGAGCTTGAAAACATTTAGTCCAGTTTATTATGGCACACCCGTTATATTCACGTGCCTTTAATTTTCTCCATGACATCGCACACCAAATAATATATTTTGTGTTGTTCCCTTTTGTAGAAAAAACAGTCGCTCTTACGTCCCCCTTTTTTCAAAATGTGTCCCCTTTTTTTCATTAGTTGACATCCCTGGTGGAAATTTTGCTATATTTTATTTATTGACCTTCGTAATTTGCTATATTTTATTTATTATATATTATTTATTATTTATTTATTTATATATGTATTTTACATTCATGAGTGAATGTAAAAAAACAAGAGAAAACTGCTAGAGATCTATCCAAGTACAATCGAAATGAGTGAAAAAACAAAAAATACGCACGATATGACCTTATATTATTTTATATCATCAAGCCAAAAACCTAATAAAATCACTAAACGTCTGAACAGACTTGTTTTTTTAACATTTTGTACCATATTTTACTTTTTTGTCTTTACACGGACAATGTTTCATGGCACATTGACCTTTACAATGTCAAGCTTCTGCTGCCATATCTACACCGGAAATAGTATACATATATTCCTGACAAGCTGAATGAATGTTTTTGTTAGTAATGTTGATGGATCAACTGTATGTCACTTGTTTTTTCTGGCGGATGTGGTAGTGTATTCCAGTCACAACTACAGTGAAGATTGGATGTTCTATTTCTTTTCCTGTTTCACTAATAAAGGATAGTCTAGTGACTCACATAGATGTGGCAGTGGAAATTGGAATTCAGGAGACTTTGAAATTCCACTAGTGTGAATCGGAATTCCAATCTCTACTAATGCAACTTAGAATGAAGTGAGCATGCTAATTTCAACTGTAGGGGAATTCCAAATTCCAGTGGAAATAAACATCATATACAGTGGCGGCAAAAATTTTCGGTACACCTCCTATCCTCTTTTTCATAACTCGGTAACGAAAAAAGCTTTTGACAAGCGGTTTGCACCAAAATATTCTCCGCTGTCTCTAGTATATCGGTAGATAAAATAAGTTAGAAATATTGATTGTTGTTCTGTGTAGGCTCATTAGATCGAAAAGTGAACGTTTTCCGGTCGGCAAAAATTTTCCGTACAGTTGATAAAAGCCTTTTTTTACGTTGTACAAGCACCGACGAAATATGAAAACTACATCAATCGATAGAGGAGAGCGACAGCTACATTTTGGTAAAAAATAATTCTGAAAAGTTTTTTCCTTAGCATGAAAACGCGACTTTAACCCAAAAGTGCTATACTTTTCAGCGTGACCTCGGAATCTCGAAAATGGATGGGTGAAAAAAAATTCTGATTAAGCCATTCGAAAGAGTGTCAAAAACTGAGTAAGACAAGTCTAGTCTGGAAGTTAAATGGAAGAATTTGACCCATCGTTTAATCGAAAACTGATATCATTGAGAATAATTCTTTCTGTATCGTACCGAAAAATCCTGAAAATTTCAATGATTTTACTGTGTCTGAGACGTTTGCATCACGCTGATGGTGCAGGCTTTTATTAACTGTACGGAAAATTTTTACCGACCGGAAAACGTTCACTTTTCGATCTAATGAGCCTACACAGAACAACAGTGAATATTTCCAACTTTTTTTATCTACTGATATACTAGAGAGAGCGGAGAATAGTTTGGTGCTAGGATTAAAAACTATGCACTTTCACTCTTTCTTTTTACAGTAACCTTCATACATCACTTTGCCGCATATATTTTATACAAAAACTCACTTTTTCAAAAAACCAACATCAAAAGAACATTTTACCTTTAATTCCTTTTTATGATGATAAAAGCACGTTAATAAAAAATTCTTTTATTCTTGTTATATAGTGAAAGTGAAGAACAAACCTAATGTTTATTGCATACTTTCATACTTATCTATCTATTTATCTCAGATCTGTTTTATTTAGTAATTTTACAACCGCTATTTCTGTTACTAGAGACTCAGACAGAATTCATTTCTGAAAGAATCAAAAGAAGATACCACGACCGGTTTCGACCTTTCTCGGAGCGGATTCGCGTATTCCGGAATTCTCATATATTCGAAAGTATTCACAAGTAATCACAGGTTTTCACAAGTATTCGCACGTATTCTCATTCCTCTAAAAGTTTTCCAACGAAACTTCCTTGGGAAACTTTTAGAGGAATGAGAATACTTGCGAATACTTCCGAATATACAGGGTTCGTCAGAAAAAGTGACACTAAATTAATTATATTTTTTACATAGAAACAAAAAAGACTTGATAATTTCTTTCTTATATTTTTATTTGTTACTAAGTAAAATATAGAAATAAAAAATA